TTTCAAAAGGAGGCCAATGTGTTTGACTATGCACATGACTGTTATAAGAAAGAAGCCTATCTGAGTTCATATGAACCTATGGTACATCCAATACCATCCATGGACCAGTGGCAGAGAACAAATTGGCCTCCAATTAAACCTCCTCCATATAAGAAGCAACCTGGAAGACCCAAGAAATCAAGGAACAAAGAACCAGCTGAGGTCGAAGTACCTGCTCCAGTTCCTCCAAACCCTTTGCCCCCATTTTACAATCCACCACCTACTAAGTTGAGAAGGATTTATGTAAAGGTAAGATGCTCTGTTTGTGGCCAGGAGGGACATAATAAGACACGGCATGAGAACCAAGGGGCAGCTCAGGTATTTAGGCCCTTCCTAATTTCTTTTTGTTCTGTAGGCCTAACTAAGGAACATTTTACCCTGCTTTTTGTTATTGTTTAGTTTATTTATATAATTTTTTATTTGTATTTTAGGCCCAGCCTAATCAGCCCAGCCTAACTATAGGCAGAGGGAGAGGTAGAGGTACTACTACAGGAAGAGGGAGAGGAAATGGGAGAGGACAAATGCCAATTGGAACTGGAAATGAAGGAGGAAATGTAAGTGACAACTCTGTCATACTACTTTGGTTGGTTAATACGGTTCAAGTTTAATTCTTGTACTTTGGTTAGTTAATATGGTTCCATTTTATTTTAGGTTGGAAATGGGACAACAGAAATGCCAAACAAGCCATCGTCATCACAACCACTCCCATCATCACAGCCACTCTCTTATACTGGAGCTACATCATCATCATCACAGCCACCCAACATTGTTGAGGTTGCCTCACAACCATCAAAGTCTCCTGCTAAGAGATTCAAGTCTCCTGCCAACAGAGTCAAGTCTCCTACCAAGAGATTCAAGTCTCCTGCCAAGAAGCTTAGACCATGGATGTGGTGAAGAAAACTGGGAGGATATGTTTTTTGAACTAGATGGATGTGTTTTTTGAACTAGTTGGATGTGTTTTGTCAACATGTTAGTTATGAATGGTTTGTTGGATGTGGTTTTTGAGTCTTTGGGCTGGAACTTAGTGTGGATGTTTTGTATTTGGTACATTTTGTGGATGTTTTGTATTCGGTACATTTTGGAACCTGAACTGGGTGTTTATGTTCTTCTATCTTTATGCTTGTGTTTCACTTGAAACTTGATTTGGTAGATTTTGAAACCTGTAACTGGTTGTTATATATGCTGAAGAAATTGTTTTATATTTCTCACACCTCTTGATCGACACCCACTACTTTTTGTCCAGCTTTTCTATATTTGTTCACCAACACCAATATGCCCTCTCATCAACAAACTGAAACTAAAATTTGTCCACCAAACTGAAACCAATATGCCCTCTCACCAACACCAATATGTCCACCAAACTGAAACTGAAATTTCATTGCAAAATAAACTACATATCGGTTACATTTCCACCTAATTGATCATACGCTTTTTAGAGTTTCCACCAGGAAATGTCAACCAATTGCTCAAGATACAAAGCATCATCATAATCACCAAAAACCCAAGACCCATTGACAGAAATGAAACCCCCAAAAATCCGATTCTCTCTTGGTCGTTGGCCCATTCTGTTCTCTTCCAATACTCTTTTCTGCTTGCCTAATTCTCCAACTTTGTACTCCAATTCCTTCTTTTCTCTCTCCACCATTTTCAGCTTATCTTCCACTTCTTTCTTCTGTTCTTCTATTAACTTTAGGTCCTCTTCCATTGCTCTCATTCTTCTCAGCAACCCAGGAATTAGTTCTTTTCCTCTTGCACAGGTCGTTGCGTCCAGCCATTCCCAATGATGCCCATTTCCTCTGCTTCTCTGCAAAGTATGTTTTCTAACATCAAAGCTAAACCCATCAAGCAACAAAATCAAATTTCACAGATCCACTTACTCGACTCATCTCACAAGCCTCAAATCTTCTCCCAGGATTTAAATCAGTCCATGAAGTCCAGGTTTTGATATATCCCCCGCACCTGCATAGCTTCCTTGCACTAGGGCTCTGACTTGTTGATGAAGAGGAAATCTGCGACATCTTTGCGCATGCACTGTGTGGGCTTCGCCAGATTTCTTTGAATTTCCAAAAATTTCAACACATCTACTGTTTTTATGTGGATTTCATCGAATATAAATGGGAATTGGGGATTTATTTGGCGCTAGATTCGACATTTTTCGGAGGGAAGTTACTTTAGATGGGTTGGTGAACATTGTAAACTTGAAAAGACGAATTTACCCTTCAAATTGACGCCACGTTAGAGAGAATTGACGGAAGGACTACTGGTGCAACGGAACACAGAGTTGAGTGACCCCCGCAACTAATAATTGAATTGGTGGACCAAAGTGTAACTATGGATATAGTTGAGGGACCATTGCTGCGAATAACCCTAATAATAAAGTAGAATGACAATGACATCAAGGGCAGAGAGTGAAAAAATTCAAGTCAACTTAGATCTTGCCATGTTTCCACCAGTTAAGGTCTAATAATTTACTCTTAACACACTTCGGTATATTATAGTGTGAGTATCTCATCCAAAACTAATTGGCTTTAATTCCTCGATGTGGTATTATATGCATTGGTCGTTGGGCTCAACACGTGTATAGCCTTCTCTCATACCATGTTAGAATGTGAGCATCTAACTCAAAATCAATTGACAATAACCAGAGATGTCTTAGATCTTTTAAAATATTAGGCCATGCTTTAATTCCCCAACATGGAATTCACATTCTCAAAAGAGGAAGTCGTAAAGCTCTGTGTATCCTTATATGCGTGCTTTAGGACCTGCTACTACGTAAAGCTTTGTGTATCCTTATGTGTGCTTTAGGTAGGACCTGTTACTATTTGGCATGAAATAGCATGAGTAGAAAATGTCAAAGAAGACAAGAACAAGTCCATTTTGATAGTGACTTATAATCTAGACGGCTGTGCAACAACTTATGTTACTAAACAGTCAAATAGAAATAAAGACATATATATTGAGAGTATAAAAAAAAAAAGAAAATTATAAAAAAACAAACAAACAAACAAACTTAGGCCCAACCAACCAAAACTCATAACGCTGCACCAATCATATAAGCTCCAATAGATCTGCCTCCACTGCAAGATGACCAAATACCAGGCTAAACCTTGAAGGCTGGGGAAGGGAACTAGGATTTTGGACCCCCAATAAGGCCAATTTTTTTATGTCATTGATTATTAGTTTTGACCCTAAAAGAAATTTAAAGTAATTAAGACGGTTCGACAACAATATCTATATTATCCCTCAATTGCATATGAAATGTAGCCAATTTGTTAGTCTAGTTTAACATTCCCTAGCAAACGACACTTTAATGTTAAGAAACTATAATTTTAAAGTTCGTTTTAGAAAGTGAATCGATTTGTCTTCATGTTTGCGTCAAGAGCTTTTTTGTTCTTTAGGCCTCTATCATTTGGACTATGTTCCATGACCCATGTGTTCAAAAGGGTGGGTCTAAACTAAAGCACACGTCTTGGTTCAATTAACATCACATCAACGTAAATCTTCGACCCAAAAAAGCAAAAAGAATCAATGTATATGAAATTGTTTTGGGTCGTAGTCAAAATGTTTAGGCACGCATTGGCCTCCCTCCCTCCCTCCCTCCCTCCCTCCTATTTAAAAGGATTGAGGACCAGCTCGAAGCAACTCCAAAAGATATCTAAACAAAAAGGCAATAATGAAAGCACAATAAAGAAAAAGGTGCCTTCTTTTCTTGCTTAATTTGCACGGTTCTCTCCTCATGGGAAAGCTTCATGTAAAAGTTTTTTCCTTTTTCTTTTTAAATTTTCAGACGAGCTTCATGTGAAATTTGTTTGTACTCTGACAGAGCCATATGTCATATAGTTGAATTTTACAATATTATTATTTATTTATTTTTTGTGCCCAAAGAAAGCCTGCAAATTTTGGTGCTTGCCATTGCTCTTTTCTTTGACAGCAAAAATGGAATTGTTTAAAGAAACTAAGATTAAATCTTTTTTTTCTTCTTCCAGAAATAAATTAACAACGGACATGAAAATTGAAATTAAAAAACACAAAAAAGAAATAGACTTGTATAAAGATGAGAGAGAGAATATAAAGATGAGATTATAATTATTTGTCTTTGAATAATCTCAAACATGAAAATTGAAATGAAGCCTATTTATTTTGAAAGAGGAACTCAATTTGTCTGCATGAAAGCTAAAAGGATAAGAAGGGAAGAAGGAAAAGTACGTAACAATTTTACTATTTTGCCCTGGAGCTACAAGGTGAGTGTATGTAGCTTCCATTTGAAGGATGAAACCTGAGGTGACAATTCAAATGACCCCAGAATTTTACAGAGCCAAGCAGCCCTACTCTCCACCTTGCTCTCAAATTCCCCTTCAAATTGAAACTAATTTTATCTCGCTTCAATGAAATATCTATTAGATCCATCTGCTCAGGGCTCAATGGAATAGATGAAGATTGCACCACATAATGAAAATCCACCGAACTATTTTTCTTCACATCAAATGGCAATGCCACCAACCTGGCAATGTTCAGGCCTTCGAAGCTCAGTATGAAGCTTGTATCCGAAAAGCTGGCGTGTGCTTTCGTGTTGTCATTCTCAGCCCTCACAATAATGGTGATTTCTGTGTCGAGAAGACCAGCCACTGAGTTTTGAAGGTTGTCCAGGTGAGCTGAGGTGACGGTGATGAAAGGCACCCTCGGATGGATTATCATGTAGCCCGCGAACACAGAAATCCCCGCAATGATCACGGCTATGGCAACAACAGTGCAGATTACAGCCGCAAACCAAACCAGAGGGTGTGTGGTTCTTTGGGTGGCACCATGGAAAAACTTTCTTGTCATTGAGGGCTACTGATGGTTGGTGCCCAGATAGTGACAACATAGGGCAAGAGTGTTTCGGGGTTTTTTGGCGAGTTTTAATGTTGGAGGAGGATGTGGTGGTGATTTAGGGTTGAGGGGGGGCTCGGCAAGACATGAATTAAGTTTGAGGTTGTTCCTAGTTCTTATTGGTAGGGAAGGTTTTGGTATCTTCCTTTCCTAGTTTGAAAGCATTTGTTGGATGTTGTATAAATATATCATATATCTTGTACTGTGCTGCTGCGCCATTTAGGTATCTTGCTCACTACTTTATTCTGATAAAGCAATATACCAAACTTGCATTGCTACGTACCATTTCTTTCCCTTTCCCCTGTGTGGAGCTGTGCTAAACATAAAACTATGATGTACCATCTAATAACACCAAGAATTAGATGCATATACAGAACCCGTCTATACTTTTTTGGGATCCATCAGACTCTTGTCCTTCTGGAGAATAAAGAAAACATAAATCTCTAGCTTCAAGTAATAATTCACCTGATTGCCCTTTAGGCTTCGGCCTTCTTTTTAAGGGAACAAGAGCAATTTTCCTCAATATATTCATTAAATGAAATCCTTCTTGTGACAATTTCTTTCAATGAAAACCTTTTCCCAAGGGGGTTGTAGCCCAATTGATTAAAAACATTTACCCCTCCACCTGAGGTCCTAGCTTCGACTCACCCCATCCCGCAATATTGCTTGTATCAAAAAACCTTTTCGAATTTTCAGAACTCTCACCAAACCCTAAAGTTCTTACCTTATATAATAGCATAGATAAATGACAAATTTGTAATTACAAAGTTTGTTGAAAGGGGTAAAAATGAAAAGCATGTGTAGTAGAAACAGAAGTTTCTTCCCTATTACTTTTCCTTCCAACCCTAATAACTTTTAACCCTTTTTTTCCCCTACGATTGTGATTTTAGGAGTCTTTGGAACTATATCTAAGGAGGAGAAGAACGCTCAAAAAATAACACAATGATTATAACTTAGAGCCAAAAATAAAAAAGATATCACGATTCATATTCTTCTATGGTTGAAAAACGTTGCAGGGAATCATGTAGATCCAAAATCCAAAATCTGAGAGCCAAAATTCTAGGGTGGGACAACCGTATAGGTTTCTCCCTCTCCTCACATTTACCCATCACATGCTACTCACGTGATGTAGTGAATGTGAATACTCTCTGCCACATTGAAGGTCTCCTTAAGTGTCGAGAGCAGGTACCACAGTGGTGGCCTCCCCCCTTCCCCCTGCTTGACACCCAGGTTCGAAACCCCCAAGGGGTTTCTTTCCTCCCAATATAACCAAAAAAAAAAAAAAAAGGTCTCCTTAAGTAACACTATAGTGGTTAATCCACTTTACTGTTTTACTAGGGTTCAAAGCTGATTTTTGTCTCTTAAAGTTTTCCATGAGTAGAAACTTACAATCAATGTTTTCGACAAATTTAAAAATTACTATGAGCAACAGTCATTACCAAAAAAGAAAAAAAGAAAAAGAAAAAAGAAATCACTGTTGAGAAAACAATACCAATCTAACAGCAATTCCTCACCATTATCAAATCTACTATAAAAGAAATCCTAATACCAACCTCTATAAATTAAAATATTCTGTCTATATTTTATATGTTGATATTATCATTTGAATCATAACTAACTATATGCTGTTATATTTTATATTACCTGAACTCTAAAGTGAGGCCATAAGCACAGTATCACGACAAAGTATAGTGGATGATCCTCTTTCTCTAATTAAAATAAGGAATCTATGTTTCACTTCCATTTTTCATGCTTTTCAACATTGTAAAACCTGCAACGAACTTTGCTACATGGATTGCCATTTTACAGACCCTGGGTTTAATCCTATAAATTCAAACAGGCAATCTTTGATCACTATAGATGACTTTTCATCCACAAAAAAGATTCCATGAATGCTTACGAAACCAACTCTTACTTAAGAGCAGGCCACTCTGTTCCAAGAGCAAAAGAACCAAGTCTGCCTAATGCTCATTTTACTCCACGCCTACCATCTCCAATAAAATATTACAGTGCCTGAAAGCAGCAGAGCTCAAACCAAACATCTTCAACCTTTAAGGAGCATACCTCTTTTATCTCTGAGAGTCACAATATTGGGAAAATTCACATTGGCAAGGGCTTGCCCTGACCTGAAAAACATGAACGTACTTAGTATATCTTCATAAATTTAATGACGATAGACCATGGAAAAGAATAGGGTAGTATGGATTCAGGTTGAGGTGTGGAATCATATGCACATCCAATGGAAGCTGAAGAAAATTAGTTCAGTTTATAAGTGCAACTACTTTGAACATGGGAGGAGAAATGGAAAGTGAGCTGAAGTACTATAATGCGCATGCACACAACCGCATGTATGGTGAACAGAAAAGAAAACAAAAGCAGTAAAGAATGACTTAATGAATATTTCATCAAAACACAAATTGCTCCATTCTTGTAGCATTTCCAGTCATATCTTAGTTTTAATAAATCACTTTGCTCTGCTTGTTAGTTTAACTCACTACACACTTGACTTATTGTGGGGAAGACAGAAAGGGCTTGGAAAAGATTAGGTTAAGATAAAAACGAATTGGTATTTATACGGCTTCAAAGTTATTAACTTTCCTTAGTTCTTAATTTCTAATGAGTAGAAGAATGGCAAACATTTATGCTATTATGTAATACTATGCATCCGGCAATATGCTTTATCACTGCAGATTACATACCATCGTCATAATGATGATGTAACAATAACCAAATCTTGTATGAGTACGAAAAGTAAAAAATATTGTCTTTGTATACAGCCTCACAGATATTATGGCTCCGTAGTTATAATGAGTACGAAAAAGGCATCACCAGAGCAATTGTATAATTAGGTATTACAGGTATTATCCTATTCTTCTACTGAGAGCATTTTGTCAGCGCCGGTGAGACAGTTGTTGGATTCAATACAATGCCTGTAATTTTATAGATTATTAAGAATACAGGCCGTTGCATTGAATCCCGTCTAGGCCCTAAATCATACAGCCTAAACCCCAAAACCCAAGCACGAATAGTATTCAAAACAATTTCCTACCATTCAAACCATGTGTGATCTTGTAGAGAGGGATACTCTCTAAGTGGCTTGTATATATACTAACATATATTCATTTTTCCTTTGAGCACAAGTCTTTTTAAGTTTTTGCTTTCATGCATTATTTATCACACCGCACTGTAGTCACTCTTTCCATTACAAAACCCTGAATTCACTTCCTAAGCTACCATCCAAAACAGACAAAATGTCACAAGTGCTGTCTAGAAATTTCAGCATAGGTAAATCTACATTTCAGCAACTTTCAGTGCAACTTTTACTCTTTCAGACCATGATTGATTCAAATAGTGTACGTTACCACCTCTATAACGCAAGGGTTTTGAATCATAAGTTTCCAAATATTAAATCATATTAGGAACAATTACAATGGTTTTCAGAACCAGTTCCGCGTCACTTAATAAATTTTTCCAGCTATATCTTCTAAGCATAAGTTTTTGTTTTTCTGTAAATTGAATTCAAGGATTCCGTCGATAAATGATTATATCATATGACATAAATTAGATTCTCCACAGTACCACCCAAAAATAAACCAAAAAAACAAAAAAAACTTGAAAATTATGCACCTTACGAAATGTGAAAGACACTCTTCTTGAGCCTCTTCTGATCACACTGTCTTTCACCATGTCAATCTGTCAAAGAACCAAAGCAATTATTGAACCTTCGCAATCAATTATAATAGCAAAGTTTCAACACCGTGAAGGAAGGAAGGAGAGAGAGAGAGAGAGAGAGAGATTGATGATGGGTGGATGGTGACTCTGATATGATGTTGCCTTATATGATTAATCATGAGTAACAGTTCTAACAACTTCTTGCAGGATGTAAAATGGTTTAGGTAATTACCAGACAAGCCCTCAGCACACAAACATATGCTACATTACAAACTATTAAATATACCTTATGATGTGGAATGTAATGATTCCAAGCATAGCGTGCCTCTCCAGATAACAGTAGCAAAGATCGAGGAGGAAGATAGATGGCCCTCCTTAAGAAATTTGAATTGTTTCCAGAACTTTCTATTTCAATATCAGAACTTGAGGAAGCTCTAGGAGTCAACCCGGCATCAAGATATCTTCTGAACTCCATAATGCAAGGCCCTGCTAACGAAAGGCTGAAAATTAATCCTTCAAAAGCAGAATGGGTATCTATATGTGGGGACAAGCCCACCCCAGGTGGGTACTCATTAACCTGTAATATAATAGTCTATCTTCAGTCTTAAATGCATACCATGCTTCAATAACTCAACCTAAGACACAGGGTGAATATCCATATATAGCAGTTATCCTCTTCTATTTCAACACAAAATAAAAGTAAGAAAACAAGATTTACTTTGTCAATTGACATAATAATTAAGTGCAGAAAAACATAGTTGCATACCGTCAATTGGTCCAAAACTACAGCTTCAGCATCCTCACGCATTGGAAGCATAGCTATTCTTTCAAGTATAGGAGAAACAAATGCTGGAAGTTCACCTAAGTTCTTTCTAGAATCAACATTCCTTGTCTGTAGCAACAAGTAAACAGAGATTATACATAAACGCTTGGGAATTCATTCACATTCCTAAATTAACAAGAGTCATCTAGAATTTGGTAACCTTGCTAAAAAAGAAATGATAAACAACAGAAGTTTAAGGAAAGATTACAAAAATAACAACAACACTTTTTATTTGAAGGGGAAACAGGAAAAAGCACAAATAACATCTTAAACTGGATTATATATCAGAATCACTATGGCATCCACTGTAGCTCCTATCCCTTTACACTTTGTCACTATTTATGGTTTCTAAAAAGAGTGATTAGAGAGCATTCCATTAACATATAAAGAGTTGATGGGATAAAAGCCCTTCCACTTATTCTTTAATCAAAATAAATTCAACACAATGGATATATTAAACACGGTGTAGTTGCTGACTAAATAATCAAAGTAAAGGAGGTGGCTAGCTCTGAAGTTTTTGAAGCTTACTTCATAACAAAATTCATAGCCATAATGCTGAACCCTTCTTTTCGAAAGATTTTTCCAAGGCCTTTCATCAACTGCTGCAAGAAACTCCTAAATAAACAAAATAAGAGACATTTGTAAGGTAAGTGCAGAAAATTTTAATTGATACCCCAAAAGTTTAAAAGAAAATGCACATGACTGAATAAAGCAAGAATTAAGTACTGTTTCAAAAGACAAAGACTGAACACCTCCTCTTCGTTAGCAGTGACAAAGTCGTGCATTAGGTAAAGGCCAGGAATGTTTAGCTCTGAGGCCAGCAAAGATACAGGAACTGAGTCATTGACTTGGCCCTAAAAAAACACGAAACTTGTTAATGTGAGAAGAAATTGAAGAATGATATACATACTCTCGAACTCAAGAAGAAGACGAAAAAATATAAGCAAGACGTGCAGCCATGCAATGCTACTGAACACTAATTTGCATTTTTATAATAGAACAAACAAGGGATTCGAATAAATAATTTTTCATGTTTTTTAAAAGTGGGAATTCTGACATCCCACATTTGCAAATAACATCAAAACCTCATTTCAAGGAAAATATGAATCACCCAGGAATCAAGTTAATCTGCACAAAGACATAGGAAACAATGTAGTGATATCAAACCATTAATCAACCAAATTTAACCACAATACTTCCTAAAGTGAGAATTAGAATATGAAAGCAAGTCATGGTATTTGCCTTTACAAGCACAGCTCTTCTCAACTATGCAACAAAGAATAAACAAATAAAAAATTCAGCTAGAAGAGGTTTTCTTTTTTCCTCTCAAACAACTTAAAAGTCCTCAACCTGAATCAATTTCACCAGTCAAACCAATAATCAATACTCAGTATCTAATTTCTTCAATAGAATCAAAAAGTTCCAATTATTCATTCCTACTGCCCTCAAGAAACGAACTTTCGCTAGAACAATTCAAGACCAACAGTCCAACACAAAGAGAAAGTACCTGTGATTGTGAAGTGGGTTGAAGCACAGAATAGCGAATGTGCAAGGAACGCCCTCCAAGCTCAGCGCAAGGCCGTCCATTCAGTGCATTGAAGGCATTCTGGGCACAGCCCTCTTCAGCAAAACACACAACAACACGAGCACCGCTTTCATCAGCCGCAAAGACTCCTTTGATTTCACCGAAGGCCCCAAACACCGAAACAATGGTGTCATAGGAGAGTCCCACCGCTGGCCCACAGTTGGCCACGTACAGGTTGGGGCTCGACTGCCCTTGCGCTCCCTTTGGCCGCCCAAATCTTGTGAAACCCATCAATTCAATCAATGGTGTTCGCGATTTTCAGGAATTTTATGTAGTAGTTTCTTTCTTTTTGTTTCTATTTTTAGGGAAATTTGCACAATTGCCAAGAGAATTTGCTTGAATTAATAATTAAAAGGTATTTTAGGAATAATAGTTGGTAAAAAGATACGACTATGTTTTTTCAAATTTACATGGTGGTTGGGAAGATGATGTGAGTTGAGAAATAGGACCTAAGTGAAAATAGCAGCACTCTTTTAAAAATATAATGGTGTGTTTGGATGAAGTAATTCTAATTTTCATGGAAATTGTAAATGACGGAATTTCCAATTACATCATTTAAAAATTCCGTCAATTGTAAATTTCAGCGTTTGGATTCATATATGCGGAATTTAAGAAATGACAGAAATTACAATTTCACATGTTTGGATAGTCATCACATAATTAGAATTTACGTAAGAACTTTTTTTTTATTTTTTTTATTTACAACAGTCTTGTATATAAAATATGATAGGAATAATTAGCATGGTTCAACACATTATTATTATATATATAATTTGAAAGACTTGAGATGTACGAAAATGTCTAACAGCACATACCTCAATTGTTACTAATGTAAAGAATTGCAACTGTAGCTTGTCTAATTTAAAAAAGCATAAATCACGTAATTGAAAAAAAATAAAGCTAATCATCCCAACCAATGTTTCAACAAAATAGAAAAAATTAAAAATATCAACTGAATATAAAATGTGTCTACGCTTTTGGTGAAATAAACATCAACACCATTCCCTTCTTTCTCTCAGTTGGAATTGTCTTTAACATGAAAAACTGTTTCTCATTTTCTATAAACCAAGAGCATGCCTTCAGTTGTTCATCTGGACTAAGATCTGGAATTGCAATGACTTCATTATATACTTCTGTTGGATCAAGCTTTTGTGTAGTAGAATTGATAAAGTGTTCCAAAGATAAAGCCATTTTAGCCACTGAATCAGCAAGAACATTAGTTGTACCTCTTTTTTTGGGTGGGGGAATATCAGAAGGTTTTTGATTTCTTCTCTTTGGACAACTAGAGCTGGGTGCAACATCATCAACCTGACAACTCTCAAAACCTTGAGTATCACTTTCCAAATCAACAATATTATTGGGATCACTCTCAGGAGTCATAACCTCAGCAGCTTCTGCACATGTTTCAGCACCCTCTCCCGTAGCTCTATCTTTTCCACATAAATCCACTATATCGTCCCAGTTTGCAATCACTTTAAATTGAAAAGTTCTAGCATCTTCATGAGACTATCAAGCAAAAAATCAAAGTTAACCATTTATTTACCACAATTTTAGTCATACAAAAAGATATAATTGCATTATAAATTACCTTCACATACTCATCCCAAACATTGTCTTCATCTACACTGATCATCTTCTTTGTTGCATCCCAATTGAATCCACTCTGACTTAATATATCACTGACTATACCATAAAACCTTTTCCAAGTTTTAACACGATTTCTTATGTTATCAGCACTTACTTCAATATCAAATTGCGCAGACAATATGGCAGCAGCGGTGTTATAAGCAACTGCTTTCCAACCACCATCTCCTTTGTGACCGATCTGACGTTCTTCTCTAAGTATATCCGCTAATGAACGCTCCATTTGTATATTCCATCGAAAATAGGCTTTGTCATCTCCTTCAGTGTCATTAATTTGCTTGTCTTTTCTTCTCCTCTGCTTTATTTTGTTTACTTTTTCTGCCATCTTATGTATTTAAAATGATTACAACAACAATATTAATAAATATGATCAATATATATTTGCATAAAAAAATGATTAACATATATAACAAAATAGACACATAAAGCTGAATAATAGGAAAAAAAACGATCAATAAAGAAGAGTACACATTTATTAAAACTGATAAGAAAAAACATGATTCAAATGTTTACAACTCCATACATAAATTTAACTTGAGACAGTTTCAACTCAATTAATATATAATGACTGAAAATCATGAATTAGTGGCGCCTCGTGCTTGATAATCAAGAAACATCTGCATTGCTAATGTGTCACGAAAAGTAGTCCATTGATCAGTGACTTGAACACTTGTAATCCTATTTGTGTTACCCTCTACTGTAGAATGATTTGATAACTCATGATCCACAGAAGCTAAAAACTCCAGATCTTGATCTTGTAACACATGGTCATTCTGTTGCTCAATTCGAATGAAGTTATGTAACACAAAGCATGCATTTATAATCCTAGTTTGTGTTTTTATGTTGAAAAATGAAGGTGTACGTAGTATACTCCATCGCTTTTTCAACAACCCAAATGACCTTTCAATTACGTTCCTTGCAATTGAATGACGCAAGTTAAATAACTCTTTGTAATTTTCAGGACGATTGTTTCCAATCCATTCATTTAAGTGATATCTAGTTCCTCGATAAGGTGCTAAAAAACCAGGTCCATTAGCATAGCCGGCATCCACAAGATAGTACTTATCTACAATATAAAAAGTTTAAAAGAAAAGTTAGTTATTTATACCTAAGTTTTTGATTATTTAACTAGTAGTATAAAAAATTACCACTTGGAACTTGAAACGAATTATCCCTGGCCAAAGCATCTCTCAGAACACGAGAATCAGAAGCAGAACCCTCCCATCCAGATAGTACATAGATGAATTTTAGATCTGGATCACAAACTCCTAAAACATTGGTGGAAATATCGCCCTTTCTATTTCGATATCTTGGTCTATCCTCAGCAGACACTGTTACTGGAATGTGAGTTCCATCAAGTGCTCCAATACAATTCTAATGACATTGAAGAAGAAAAAACAGAAATAATTTTAAGATAAGTGGTAACATTATAACAAGAACATATTTTCCTAAAGTTATAAGATTACCTCAAACCACTTCCACTTGTCTCTTTCTGAACCACCAATATCACATGGCTGAAGTTTCAAATATTCTTGACTAATTCTCATCATTGCACGCAACACACTATTAAATTGCCGGCTAATTGTTTCCTTAGAACGATAATAGTCAAAACCAATGACCCTAAACTTCAAGTTATGAGCAAGTATATTTAAAAAGGTAGCAACGGATTCTTCAATTGAAACATTTCTTGTCCGAACCAATCCACCCTTTTCATGCAAAATAGTGCACAAGCTTTGAAATGCTTTCTTACTAACTCGTAGTTGTTCAATACAATCAACTTCCTTCCCATTATACAAACGATTCAAGCGACATCGCCTTTCTTCATCCCAATCATGTGAGGGCTCTTTAACCAAATAATTTTCATTATACCATGCTCCAACAATGGCAATGATACATGTAATGGTACTAAGAATAATTGTCATTTTCTTCTTATTTTCTTCTTCGTCTCTAGCACGCTTGCGACCTAAATGGGCCAAAAAGTTATCTACATCATCACTAGCCATGCATGTTTATATGTGTATAATTTTATTATGTAAGTAATCTACTTCACCTAAAAAAATATGACTCGACATCAACACACATAAAAAAAGAGGCCAGCAAGATACCAAAAAGGAACAGCAGGTTCCAATAAACCGTGCAGATTTTCTTACCCTCCTTTTCAATCCATACTTGGAATTATAGATAGTTGAAAATTTTGATTCCTTAACCACAATCCCAATTTCATAGATACATATGGATAAAATACGAACCAAATGATATCCAGTACTCATCATCAAATCAGAAATACACTTTAAGTTTTCTGTCACTGTTTTCAGAAGAAAAAATTATAAAGATTCCAGTACACACAATGTTGAAATCCACAACACCAAACACAGAAAACACTAACAACTCTCCATTTTGACGACAATTAGCACGAATCCAACACGGTAACAATTGCACAAGATCAAGCTCATGATCAACAAAGGATAAAACACAACCCTGTTACTAGAGCTCTTATTTAGTTTGCAGTGAAAAGAAAAGAGAGAAGAAAACAAACAAGAATGCACCAGATTATTCTATCTCTCAGAGATCAGTTTGTTGCAAGCAACAAATAATAAAACCACTGTCCTCTATCATTCTTCCACACATGTCCAAATCACAAAAATACATTCAATTCATTCAATTCATGCAAACAGCAAGCAATGGCACAAAAATACAAATGGAGGCAACGCCTCTTTTGAGAAAGAGAGAGAGAGACTTTTCAGCATAAACAAATAAAAACATCCTAGAGACAAGAGAATCCTAGAGACAAGAGAGCACACTGCCGACAGCATGCCTAATGCAAAATTAGCCACAGTAGCACCACTCCTTGAGCCAATAAACAAAACATATCCTACATAAAGCATGGGCATGCTTTTACAAAGTGAATAAAATATTAAATGTGGCTTTGAATTCGGTGGACTTGGTTTAACTTCCAACAAAAACTAAACAGCAGATATAAGAACAGAAAATTATTATCTTGTGAATAAAATTCAATTAACTGAAAAAGGAAAAATAGATCAAATATGCAAAACCCATGTCTTGTTTTCGAGAATGATCAAGAAACAGATTCAATTCAAGGAAGAATCAGAGAAAAAGCAAAGAGGAATTCAAACAAAACAAATTTTGAATATGGACATCGATTCAGAGAAAAAGAGAAAGAGAAGCCAGAAGAAAAAACGAGAGAGAGAGAGAGAGAGAGAGAGAGAGAGGACTTACCGAAAAGTCGGAGGCGCTTGAGGAAGAAAGGCGTTTGGTGAATGGAGGTGAGAAAGTTTGACCTTGCGTATGAATATGTCTCTAGACTCTGTCTTTCTTACCTTGATTGGAAGAGCAAATATTCTTGTCAGATTGAAAGACAGAGAGGAGAAATAAAATAAAAGCAAAACCCTGGTTCCACCGCTGAAAGAATCAATATAGTAGACAAAAAAGAGGCACAAGGAAAGAAATTGAAAATTGAAACTCACCAGAAAACTTAGCAGAACACCATCAAGAGAATACCCATGGCGCGCAGGCTTGTTCTCTTTGAAGAAGATAGGTTATTCCTGAAATTTTGGTAGGCAGAAGATGAAAATTTTGGCGTGCAGAAGATAGGTTATGGCGGGAAGAAGATGAAAATTTTGGCGGG